TCCTTTCAGCAAACTTAGCATAAAATCAGACTGTGTTCTCCCTGGGTCTTTGGGTTTTCATTTATGAAGGCTTCCATGTCACATAGAGCTTTGTTAAATTTGTCATATTTTTCTCTTGCTAACCCATCTTTTGTTATAAGGGTATTGGCTGTGACTCTTGTTACAGGTAGGGAAAAGGTATTATCTTTTTTTTTTTTTTTTGAGACAGAGTTTCACTCTTGTTGCCTAGGCTGGAGTGCAGTGGTGCAATCTCGGCTCACTGCAACCTCCGCCTCCCGGGTTCAAGCAATTTTCCTGCCTCAGTCTCTCAAGTAGGTGGGATTACAGGCATGCACCACCACGCCCGGCTAGTTTTGTATTTTAAGTAGAGATGGGGTTTCTCCATGTTGGGCAGGCTGGTCTTGAACTCCTGACCTCAGGTGATCCGCCCACCTCGGCCTCCCAAAAGTTCTGGGATTACAGGCGTGAACCACTGTGCCCAGCCGGGAAAAGGTATTATCTTTTTGCCCCAATAATTGCAATGCATTGAAACCCATCAAATACGTTTAAGTCCATGAGTTCATAATGGTATTTCTAAAAAAATTAATTAGTTGCCTTTGGAGGTCACCTTTTGGAGCCAATTCATCTTTAAAATTGATAAATCAAGCATTTACCCAGTTTCTCTATGTGAACTATACCATTAGGTAACCAAATAAGGGGAAATGTCCATTTATAAAAGTATTCAAGTAATAAATTAAAAAGAGATGATAAACCTCCATAGTAATGAAATATGATATTAGGGTAAACAGAAACTGGGTGAGGACTATGTGGAAACTATACTATCTTTGCAACTTTTCTGTAAATCTAAAATTATCCCAAAATAAAGTTTACTTAAAAAAAAAAAAAAAAGGCTAGGATGGCTATTAAACAAAAGAACATAATAGTAAGTGCTAGCAAAGACATGGAGACACTGAAACCCTCACACTCAGCTAGTGGGAATGTAAAATGGTACAAACACTATGGAAAACAATCTGGTAGTTCTTCAAAGACTAAACATAGTTACCATATGACCCACAATTCTAACTCCTAAGTATATACCCAAAAGAAATGAAAACATGACCCAGCCATCCCATTACTGGGTATATACCCAAAGGATTATAAATCATGCTGCTATAAAGACACACGCACACGTATGTTTATTGCGGCACTATTCACAATAGCAAAGACTTGGAATCAACCCAAATGTCCATCAGTGACAGACTGGATTAAGAAAATG